CAGGAAGGTAACCACCTGTAATGCTAAGGGTGGATTAGATTAGGGGAGAAATTGGAAGTAAGGCATGTCAGGAGCTCTTGGGGGTGTGTTATAAAGGCCACGGTCTTTAGAGTGAAGTTACCGTGTTCCTGGTTTTCAGGGAACTTTTTTTGTTTTTTTAAAGATTTTATTTAATTGAGAGAGACAGAGATAGCAAGAGAGAGCATGAGCGGGGAGGAGAGGGAGAAGCAGGCTTCCCGCTGAGCAGGGAGCCCGATGCGGGGCTCGATCCCAGGACCCCAGGATCATGACCTGAGCCGAAGGCAGGCGCTTAACTGACTGAGCCAGCCCGGCGCCCCAGGAACTTTGATTAGTTTAAATTTAAATAGCTACATGTGTCTAGAAGATATGGGATCGAGCAGCACAGCTCCAGAACTCTTTCCCACAGAGTCTTGAAATATGGGTGCTCTCAGGCTACTGGAGGAACTTAGGTTAAGACAGGCTGAACAGCATTACAGTTTGCCAAAGACAGCAAGAAACTCAAAGCTCAAAAAACTCAAGCTATTTTTAAAAACTGCTAGGGAACCCTACTGTTCCACTATTTTCTGGAGTTTCTTAGGATCAGCTCCCAACGTGAGACGTGAGAGAAGAAAGAGCAAAGAAGAAAGCCCACCCAAGTTCTGCAACCGAAGTTCCTGTCCCAACAGAGAGAGAGGGTTCGGTCCGTTCTACAATAGAGACCAGTAGCATGCAGCTTCGGGGTGAAATGGGGCAGCAAAGTGAAGCAAGGGGCTGCCTAGAATAGAGATCACTTTCAATTCACAAAGGAGGTCTAGCTGGAATGCAACAAAGCCCTCAGAGGGTGAGACGGCCTGAGTGAGATAGATGCCCAAAGAGCATACCGGCTCTCTCTCATCGTTTCCTTCTGTTTGGGGAGCAAGTGCAAACTCTGGGACCTGTGGAGGAAGCAGCAGCCAGCCCCTGTCCCAGCCTTCCTCCGGTTACATAGGGACTTCATTTCTCACTGCCCCCCAGTACAGAGCTGACCATTGCCTACTGGCAATGCTGTGTCTGTGGCGATGTGTTCTTCTCCCGCCCGCCTTCCGCACAGCTCCCGGACTGCACACCCATCAAACAGCCCAGAGCCAGGCTGGCGAGCAACTGGAACCTTGCCCCCTGCTGGCAGGAGTGTGAACTGACACAACCATTCAGGAAATCCGTCCCGAAGGATGTACTAAAACAGAGCACGCCCACTCCTGGGTAAACACATACCTGACGTGTACATATTTTCACCAAAAGACACGCACTTCAATATTCATGGCAACATTACGCAAAGCACCCTGAAACTGGAAACCCCAGAAATCCAAAAAACAATG